CCCCAGGGCAGCTGTGGCTACAGTGTAGTTTGCCATCATCAGTGTGTGAATGTGAGTGTGAATGGGTGAATGTCTGTTAGTGTAAAGCGCTTTGGGGGTCCAGAGGGACTTGAAAAGCGCTCTATAAGTTCAGTACCATTTACCATTTACCAATAAATGAAGAATTAGACATAATTTCCTCTATTATTTGGAGATTCTCCAAATAATAAAATACTCATTTATCTGGTTTAGCGTGCTATGTACCGGTAGTTTATTATATTTTTAAATTTTATTTTAGGACAGTAGAAACAGACAATTAAATAAAAAAATTATGTTGGAGGTTACTTTTGCAATGCAAAACAAATGTAATCTAAACTACAAACAAGCAGGAACACAAAATGTAATCTGTCAAGTTCATTTTATCTTTATTTATGATGAGACAGGTTATTAGTGTTCCTCACTGATAAAAACTGAAAACTTCAACCAGAGATGAAGCATTTCTTATATGATGCTTTTTTTTAAAGTGCATGCATAAAGTTCCCTTTGGTAACCAAAGACTGTCTTTGGGTTTAGCAGCCCATGTTGCAGTTTCTTTTATTCACTTTGCCCTAAAAAAAAGTGAAAATCCTGCAGAAACCAGAATGCTTTGCATGCAGTTTATCATCTGTTTTCTTCCCTGGCTYCAGCTTGATGCTGACATCTGGAAAGGCTGAACTCAAAATAGCCAGGAGTTTATACATCTGCAGCTTCTGGAGGAGCTTTACATAAAGATGGACAACATGTGAGCAGATGAACTAACGTGCAAAATCCTGACCTGGTCTGGAGCGATGGAAGCTTGATGCAGAATCCAGATTTTGTGAATGAATGCTTACATTTTTATCAAAGTTTAATATATATATGCTTTTTGTGCAAATCGTTTGAATAGTGTAATTTATCTGCGAGGAGATATACAAAAAACATTCATGACAGTAATGATAATGCAAACATAAAGAACAAAGTAAAAACAGCAGCAGAGTGAGGAAACATGGTCAGTCTGTCCTCCAGCTGTCTGAGTCTAGCATGAAAACCCAAGCCAATAGGATTTATCAGAGAAGTAAAGTTAAGCCTGGTCTTAAAGGGTGTCAGCCTCACGGACATTTAATTGGGCTGTCACATCTGTTCAAATGATTTAAACTGGGTACAATGCAAAACTAATTTCACTAAGTTTAAAAGCTTCCCCCCATAAATCATGCATGCATGGTTCTTCAAAACCCAATCAGCTGCAGCCACTCCTCAGCCAACCATCCACCTGTGAATCAGTGACGCCCCATGCATAGTAAACAGCACCGTTAAAGGGACATTCCCTTCTTAGGTGCAGATTTATTAAGTATTTCTGCAAGGATCGGGGGTCTCTGAGTGCAGGTTGCCGGGGGATTACTCTGGGGCCCCAGACAGCCTGCTTGTTTGTGACACAACAAAGTCCCTTTCACACAATTAAGCACGCTTCACCGGAGCCGCTTGTCCCCGCCCCTCCCTGCCGGACAGCATCCCTCCTCCTGTGGGCTCCTCACACGCTGCGTGATCCTCCTCACACACCGATGGTGGAGGCTCCTCTCTCAGCCCCATGGAGTAGTAGTAGTAGTAGTGCGGCGACTGTCGGCTTCTTCACAACCTCTTTTTGTTTTCTTCATTTTATTTTATTTTATTTTTATTTGATCGCATTATTTTGCATGGAGTCTCCGTGGAGCGCCGCTTCATCCCACCGCGGTAAGTGTTTTCCGACGGAGGAAACCGGAGGACTCTATTGTCTGTTGCTGAGGCAAGTTCGGACCTGGAGTCGGATCCAATCTGATTTATTGTGGCGATGCGGGCGTTCTGGGCGAATTTGTCGCATTTCTTTTGCCGATTTTCGCGAAGATGCGCTGAAATGTTGGAGGCAGAGAGAGAGGGATGGAGGAGGATCATCGGTATTTTTGACAGACACCTGTCTCTTTAGCGGCAACAGTAAATGACCACCTTATTTGCGCTCGTGTAGAAGCGGTCCCTGAAGGCATCATCTTGCCTCAGCCCGACTCATCCTCCAATTAACACAGGAAGAAAAAAAAAAAAAAAAAAGGCTGGGATTCAATGTGTCGCCTCGGTTGCTGAGCAAAATGTGCGTTCAGTCCAGCAAGGGAAGAAAAAAAAAAAAAACTGTGCCCCGTCTCCCCGCCCCCCCAACACCAGAGCCTGGCCATGTCTCCAGCAGCTCCCATGTAGTCGTGCAGGGCGCAGTTCAAGCCTCTCACATCGCAGGAAAACGGGATTTCCCGAGCTCTTCAGACGCCCCTGTGATCACCGTGGGGCTAARCTTAAAATGAATTCAGTGTTGCATGTGTTAGTCCATCTTGGCTGCCTCTTTGTGTCCTTTCATTCTCACTGCAGCGCTGTGGATTTACTGGTTTTAGCTCGAGGAGATGAATAAATAAACTGGAAATAATATGCAGATCAACTGTCATTTTTAGTACTTTTTAAAATGAGATAATGTATATGATCATAGGGCTTGTATATTCCAAATGCAAGCTGAACAGTGGCCATCTGCTTCTGTTGAGTCACCAGAAAGAAGAAGAAGAAAAAAATCAAATAATCATGTTCTTTGTGTGCTTGAAAATCCCACAAATGAAACCAGTTTTGCTCATGTGCTGCTCAAACTGCCCCTCCTCGCCCCCCCTTGGCTGAGCACTGAAGGTGATAAAACATCACCCAGCCAGAGCAGAGAAAGCTGCATACAGTGTTTCTTGTGCAGGTGGTACTTGAGGAAACGTGCATTTTGCTGCTCGTGTTTATATTTACAGGTACGTGTACTGTTTTCCCTGCAGGCCAGCGAGGCTACTGTTCTTACTCAGCAGACAGGGGACAGGTGGCTGGACATCAGGTGAACAGTTCCCTGGCTGTCAGCAGGATCTGGTAAATTGGAGACACCTTTTGGAATCGGGCCACAAAACTGCACCAGTGTACACTTGAATGTGTGTGTGTGTCTGGATGTTTTTTGTTGTTAGGTGCCTCTGTGTGTGCCTGCCTTAAATCACAGGAATGTGTTAGAACCAGCACTATACTACAGCGAAAGCCTTGGTTGGGTGTGTATGTTTTCAAAGAATAATAAATTGTAAATTCAGTTCAGACKTATAAGATGCAATCACGGTGAATTTAGTTACAATTATACAATGTGTTTAGCTGTAGTATATTACAAAATACCATTTGGTAAATATTATCTGGCTAAGATTGAATCAAATCTTCATTTTGCCAGAATAATCTGTCATGAGCAGCACTGAGGCAACAGTAGAAGGGAACAACTCCCTTTCAATGGAATGAATATATATATATA